TTTTCACCTGTAAACGTTTACTGAGTATGCTTTGTCAACATTTATTTTTTTTTTATTGAAATATGAGTAATGTTTTCCAAGTCTATTTCATTCGCCATTCCTATCATTTTAGAATGTACCATATTGTAAGGGTATATTGTGCGACATGACCGTCACACATAAAAAAGATATGTTTATGATAAACTTATATTCCGGACCCCTAACAAAAAAAAAACTGTATTTAGCGATAGTTTACTTAAGTTATTTTTAGTTAACTACAGTTAATTTACTTGGCAAAATTATCACTATAGTGAATGCAGTTTTTTTTAAAAAGAACACTATAGTGTCCTAGTTATGGCTATAGTAAATCGAACTTTTAAAGATTTTACTATAGTAAAACGATTTTTTCATAATGAAGACTAAGGAATGTCAAAATTTCCATATATATCACTATAATAAATTAAAGTGTCAAATTTTTTACTATAGTAAATTAAAGTGTTTATGTATAAAATATAAGTAAAGTATGAATATGTACAGCTGTATATGAATATATATACAACAAAAAGCCTTATATCCAAACTAAAGGCACCGCTATTGAAAGAAAAATTTGAGGAAACTATTCCAGTTTATATATGGGGGAAATGGGAATTTAAAAAACAAAAACAAAACAGAACAAAAACAACAAACAAACAAACAAACAAATGGATTTCTTATAACAGATCTCTACCAGGGATGGAGTAATTGAAAAAAAAAGTATATGTAATATGTCATGTTGCATAATATACCCTTCCTATATGTTATATTCTAAAATGATAGGAAAATTGAAATAATTCTTTAAGAAAAATAACATTTTTTTGCTTGAAATTAACAAATTAACAATTATTGTGTGAAAAACTTTTTTTTTCAGGCAGCCAGTGTAGCTTGGACGCAAATACATCCTCGGGCTCGAACGAAAGTAAACTCTTCTTACTCATTTATTTATTAATTAATGTTTTTCTGGCAGCTATTTATTATATTTTTTTTCACCACCCTGCTTGAAAAAGGAGTAAGGGAGTAGTGAGACATTGCATACGTATATGTATATTTCCTGGTAATTTTCAAATTGACATGAAAAGTACCCTCACTGATCAATGCACACATGTGCCAAACGTTTGTCACAATTCGCAGTCCTTTACTACCATACGGTAGGAATCTATTTCGATGGTGATGATTTTTCATTAGATTCCTAAAAAATCCCCTGAGTTCCCCCTGGCATTTGCCTGTCACTCCCTGACCTTCTCCTATGAATTCCTGTCGTTGTCCCTCACAACCTTTTCTGCTCCCTGAAATTACCCAGCTTTCTCCGGGTTGCAACTGTTCACCCTATGATGTCCTCTGTTATTCAATAATATTATGTCATTGTAAACTCCATGATTGAGTTCCTTTCGACCTTGTATTCACTCCATCATCTATTTATTTAACTTACCTGTATAGGTAGTAAGTTGTTAGAGACTTAAAGAAAAAGATCACTAGATAAATTGGTAGAATAAGATTCCGGAATGCGACGATTATTTTGTATTCATTATTGAAGTAAAAAAAAGTTAAAGCTAGTGGCAATATGCTTAAAAATTACCTTTACGGTTTTGTTTTGTTTTTAGAAAGATATGTTCATATACAGTTCCTGAAACGTTTTACTTTCCTACCTTTGCGGTGAATGAACGCTGAAGGAACGGTGAATTAACGGTGAACGAACACAGAGCGAACGATGAGGGAACGATGTGCGAACGCTGAACACATCTTGGTGAACGATGTGTGAACGGTGAACGGTGAGTGAACGCAGAACGCGAACGGAGCGCGAACGCTAGCGCAAAGTGAACGGTGAACGAACGGTGATCGCAAGATGAATGATTTATTCGGAATGCATGCCTCCGATCTTTTCCTTACATTTAAATTATTCTATCATTCTATAATTCTAATTTCAAGTGCTAAAATATAAATAAACACTAAATCAATAAAAAATAAAAGCTTTTTTTCCCTGCACATACGCATATTTTAAATCGTTTATATATAATAACACAATTTTTATTCCCGTGAAACATGTATTTGTGACCGAACACTTGAAGTATAAATATAGTATTAATTTACTTATAAAGTAAATATGCTTATTGTTTTAATTAATAAAATAATGTGGACTTTTAGAAGATAAAAGCACTACTTATAGAATGAATTAATTACACTGTACCCGGTTGAAGCAACAATACATGTGTTTTTGTGAAAAGGCGTTTCTGAGTAAAATAATGGATCTTTTTAATATTTACAATTGTCTGTTGGGGTATTACATGAATGCTCTTGTATTTTAAAATTCTAATGCAAAATATCTAATATTTATGTGTCATTTTTATTCTTTTATGATAATTATTTTAGCAAACCTTTACATGTATCTGTAGACATTACCAGGCCGTTATAATACTCGAACAAGATGATGGAAAGAGGCAATCTAATTATTTGTAATAGATTAAATTTTCAAAAATGAATAAGTAATGTGTCGTCCTAGTTTATATTGAACAGAGAAATGTGCAAGAGAGAGAGAGAGAGAGAGAGAGAGAGAGAGAGAGAGAGAGAGAGAGAGAGAGAGAGAGAGAGAGAGAGAGAGAGAGAGAGAGAGAGAGAGAGAGAGAGAGAGAGAGAGAGAGAGAGAGAGAGAGAGAGAGAGAGAGAGAGAGAGAGAGAGAAAGAGAGAGAGAGAGAGAGAGAGACCTCCATTCTCAGATATTTGTTGTATCATTTAGAAAATTCCTATCATTTTTCCTGAATATTCCAAGCAGTAAAAGTAATCAATTTTTAAAGATTAACAAATCCGTTTGACAGTAATCATCGGCTTTTGATTTCCATCTACAAGTTACTGTTCACACGAAGTCAAGTCCAGAGTTTGTCCTGTCAATGAAAATCATTCGACACAATGAAAGTGTGGAAATCTCGCACAGTATAGTTAAGGTGCGCAATGGAAATATTGACAATATTTTGTATTTAAAAAAACATTCATAATCAGGATGGCGATTTTTTTTTAGTACATTATTTATATCGGATAATTGTAATCATGACAAATAGCTACATATTGAGGACGATTATAATTCATATTTAGACTTGTCGCGTGATGCAGCAGTCACGTGCTTATAGCGCATTTACTTGCAGTATTGATGTTACATCAAAATTTCAATAGTGCAAGGGCATAACCAAGTTAAACTTCCAAGTATAGTTTATAGATATTTTCAACACACATTGTATTTTTTATTAAGAGCTGCGATCCTATTTAAATTCTGCTATTTCATTGGTAAAATTATATTTGTATGACCGAATGCTGTATTTTATGCTGGTCAACGGCATTGTATATTGAGCCGTTCCGAGCAAAAACCCCCTTATGTAATCTGACAGAATTTTACGTCACAATAGAAAAAGCGACGTCATTATTTTGCAACAAAAACTGCTATAAAAATTTATCGCGCACTGACTGAGTTCCAGCTGAATTCTTTTTTTATGTCTCAGAATTTTCTCATTTGTGCTCTCTGTATATTTTTTTTTTTCATGACTACATAAGTATTGTCTATTTTATCGCATATCTGACTTTGATTGTTGTCAAACTACATAATTATGCATTACACATTTAACCTATTAAAAGTGTTCTGATTAAATACACAAAATCTGTCAACACTGCGACGTTTACTCTGTTCCATGTACAATATAAGTCTTCAGTTAAACTAAATAAAACATGCAACTGTTGTTTAAAATTCAGATTTACGAATCTTTCATATTCAACAATGACAACAAATTACACGCAATGATGATAATGAGTGTAAAAAATATTTTTAAAAAGGAAGGAAGACTAGTTTGAAATGTTTTTTTTTTTATCCGAAGTCTTGGAGTAAATTGATTTGACTTAATCATATGTCAAGAAAACTGCACAGGAATTAACACCAATCAAACTGAATGATAGAATTGTTTAACCACACCAATGCCAGATCTAAATCCGGGGTATTTTTTTTTTATTTATTGTAGACCCAGAACCTCCTGGAGGAGAAGTGAAACTAGTTCAGCTAAAAATGCTACATTAATTGAATAGACGTATATCCGACATTCTCCTTTTTCTTAGGTGTTGAAAGGATCGATAATTTGTTAATACTGTTGTACCCCCCCTTTCCCATCACCACCACCCAAAACAATATGTCATAAAGCATATATAAAAATTATGGAAAGCCGTAGGGTACCCCCACATTGTTATTATATTTTCCTATATAATTATACCAAAAATAATTATGTCATCCAAACTTGCTTTTTACAACATTATTATTATTTTCCTGCAACAATTATAATCTTGTCTCTTAAATGTGTACACATTATTATTATTGTGTCCTACAATTATAATGTTCCAAACTTTACAATAATAATCTTGCCAGTCAATGTGGACACATTATTATAATTTTTCGCCTCAAGATTATAATCTTGTCAGTCGATGTGTACACATTTTTATTATTTTGTCCTACAATTATAATGATCCAAACTTTACAATAATAATCTTGCCAGTCAATGTGGACACATTTTTATAATTTTTCGCCTCAAGATTATAATCTTGTCAGTCGATGTTTAAAAACATTATTTTTATTTCACCTTAAAATTATAATAATTATTCTTGCTTTTAACAATTATAATCTTGTTTGCCAAAGCGAACACATTATTTTTATTTCGCTTCAATTTCATAACAATTTTATTCCACATCGATCATACAATTATAATCTGTGTTACTCCAACAATAATAATCGCGACCAAAACAGTTGCAACATTATTATTATTTAGACGCTTGAAATCAAACGTTTGTGTGATTCTGATGTACAGCACAATTATAATCTTGACTTCAAATTTTTGGGAAAGATTATTATTATTTGGACGCTTGAAAAAGTAAACGTTTGTCTGCCGAAGACAATCACGTGGTTTAAGGCCATGTGCTTCCCTATCAACAGTGTCGAATTCGGCGCCAGTGAAAGGCAGCTAGGCGGTTTGCCGGTAAGTAAAGATGATTTTGTTATATTAATGTACAAGTAAGTAAATTACATTCATTCGATAAAGGAAATGTCTCGGAAATCAGCTGTCAGTATGCTGTTATTGAACGACAGCTTCGGAAGAAACTAGTTCGAATTATCTCTGTACTTTTGTATAGGAGATTGAGATTGCACCAATGCATGCCATTGGCAGCAAACACCTATGTTTGTTTGTTGTTTAACACAGGCACGGATCGAAATGCTGCGGGGGGGGGGGGGGTCCACGTAAACTCGCCCAAACTGCGAAAACCTATTTCGTGTTGGGTGGGTGGGTAGTTGAAGATTTCTAATGCTCTAATGCTTCAAACCTTTGAATTTTCTTACTAATTTAACACACACCAATTTGCATTTACCAGGGGGTTTTGCGTTTTCCGAGGGGGGTCGAAGGTAACTTTTTTTTTGGCTTTAGTGTATAAATTTAATAACCTTGCAAATTCAATGGAGGGTCCTCCCTCCCCCTCTAGATCCGTGCATGGTTTAACGTCCCTGTCAAGACTTCACTCATGGAGACGCCACCACTTATGAGTGGAGAGCAATCTAATTAAAATTAGATCTTTGATCCGCTCCAAACTGGAGCGGATCAAAGATCTAATTTTAATCAAATTGCAGTGGAGAGCTGCAAGTTTTGACTAATACTCAGCACTCAAGGCCATTGAACAATGAGCCTAGGGATCTTTTTCGTGCCAGCACCTACTTTGACACGGGACCTGTACTTATACGGTTTCATCTAAATGACCTGTCTTTATGTCCCACTGTGGGATTTGAACCTAAAACATAAGGATCAACTCCTTTCTCTGCAGCTTTTTAGAAGAGCAAGCACTCTAACCACTGCTCCATATGGGCGACTCTATGTTTGTTATCAAGAGCAATGTTATTGTTATTTTTTTCAATTTACTGGGTGTGTTCAATTAATTACCAATAAACTGCGCAATAAATCATTAAATAGTAAATACATTCAGGAATCATTCCTGTGTTGGAATTGTTTTTAGCTCACCTGCTCGATGATTAAAAAAAAAAACAAAACAATTTTCAATTCTGTTTTCAAGCCACTGCCATTAAAAGAGTCAATTGACAATTTCTAAATATGAAACATTTCAGAATTTCTGAAAATCTTCATATTTTGTTCAATCATTAGTCACCATGAGAAATAGAAATATGCTGTAACTTTTGAAGAATTATTTGCACATGTACATCTAATTTTAGGAGCAACAAAGGGTCTTGATTTTTAGAGGCATGCAGGTTTTAAAGAAAGAAAACAGGCAGTGTTGAAAAGAAAGAAAAAGATTTTCAACTCAAAGAATTACAGTGACACACTGAGGTAAAAAGAAAAATTATACATTTATTACAATGGCAGATTTATCCAGGGGGGGGGGGTTAAGAAAATGTAACGATTACTTGGAAAGTTTTACATTGAGATTTATATATATTTTTTTTATTCTTCAGAAATATATTTGTATGTTTAGAACAGACAGTCATCTACTTTACACATAATTATTTGCAATTTAGCTTACCTGAGTCTAATGCCATGTTCACAAGGAGAGTTTAATTCGAATTAAACATAAGTTACTGCAAATTAAATGTGAACAGCATTCACATGGAGAATTTAATGCGAATAAGTTTAATTTGAATTAATTTACTGCGCATTAAATTACTTTGCATTAGCTCCATGTGAACGCTAATCGAAGCTAATTCGAATTAAATTGTGCATGCGTAAGGCCTGAATTAAGTCACAGGCCGCATGTCAATAGTTGGATTTAGGTATCAGAGCTATTTTTGGTTGAAAAATAATTTAGGAAAATTGTGTAACAAACACTATGATTTTTATGTCAATTGAATCTGCTTGGCACACATGATGTGAGTAACAAATGACGTCATAATATCATTGCTGATCTCACTAATGTAGAAATAAAATTTTGATTCACATTAGTTTACTTCACTTTAGCTGTTGTGTTGAACGCAATTTAATTTGCATTATTTTACTTTGCATTAATTTACTGTGAATTATACTCTCCATTAGCATAAGCATAAGGCTCAAGTAAACTTTTCGGACTAGGTAGACATTGTGTCTGGCATCTATTTTTCATACCCCCAGGGTTAGGGTGGGGCCACAATGGAAATCAAAGTTTTACACAAGAATACAAAGCAAAGAACATTAGAAATCTTCTAAGGCCATGATTAGTCAAAGAAATATAGAAATCTTCTAAGGCCAAGAAATAGAAAGCATCATCAGTTGGTGTAGATTTAAGCTTGTTCAAATCATGCCCGCTTCCCCTTCCCTTAGGATTAGTTTGGGCCCAGTATGAATTATTACTTTTCAATACTAAAAGCTAAAGAGCTAAGGTGAGCAATGTGACCCATTGGTCTTTTATTTAACCTTCGTCATTTCTGTGCAAAATATCCTAGTGTATGTTCATTTTGCGGGAAGGGGGGGGGGGGGGGGGGGTTTTTGCCCCATACTTTGCCAGTAAAGATGCGTAATAAAATTGTCAAAATGAGTTTAAAATATTTTTTTTTAAAAAATTCAGGCAAGTTACAAAGGATATTGTGAGAAAATAAGGAGGGTTTTTTTTATAAAGGGATATAACTTGTAAATGGACATTTTTTTAATTCATGTCAAAATTTAATGCCAGGTCTGTTTAAACAAGAAAAACCCAGTTTGCGGTCACATTGGGTGCCCTCCACTTGTCATACGTATCATGAAAACATGATGTTTGTGAAAGCTTTTTTTAGCATATAGGTCTCGGTCAAGGTCACAAGGTCATTGACTTTGGTTTCACTTGAAAGAACTGTTTTATTGGAGTATGCATACCAAATCTGAAGTCCCTATCTCCTACGGTTCAAAAGTCATGGCAAAAAGTTGAAAAAGCTATTTTTAGCAGATAGGTCACAGTCAAGGTCACAAGGTCATTGACCTTGATGTCATTTGAGAGAACTTTATCATTGCAGTATGCAGTCCAAATATGAAGTCTCTATCTCTTATGGTTCGTAAGTTATGGTGAAGGTTAAAGTTGACAACAGACAGACAGACAAACAGATAAACAGACAGACAGGACAAAAAAATATACGCCCTGGATCTATCGATCCGGGTGCATAAAAATTCTCCATCGTATCAATTTTTCCCATGATTATGCATGTCAATGATAATTCTAAGAAATCTTATTGTGTTTTTAATGTTATCTTTCAGGGTTCAGGAACCATAAATTTGATGTTGGAGTTTGAACTCCACCCTGATAGATTTTGAGCACATCATAAAATTTAGACCTATGGAAAAAGTCTTGTAGTTGGAAGATAAAGAAAACACAGCCATGAAAAAAATCAGAGAAATCTTGTGAGAAGAGTGTGCTGGCCTGGACAAAAAGTTGCAGTTTGAATAACTTACAAGAAAGAAGAGTCTTGACAAATTTCATAGAAGTCTTGATGAAAGATTGCATGTGTTGTTCCTGTTGTTCCATGATCTTTGTCCTTTTAACAATATTTATCACTTTATTTGAAGTGACGCATTTTTGATTTTCATTATTGAAATATTTACATTTGATACTCTATCTAACCATTGGGCCAAGAAAGGTGAATACTCATATGGAATCATTGTCAGATAGGGTAGATTCAAGTTTGTACAAATCATGACCTCCTGAGTGTAAAGTGGGGCCACACTGAAAGTTCAAACTTGTAGGAAAAAAGGCTACAGTCAAAAATATAAAAGCATCCTTATTTAGTGTAGGTTCAATTTTGTCAAATCATACCCCTCCCTTTTAAGGGTTGGTCAGAGCCACGTATGCATTTGAGTTTTTCCGGTACAAAACTGATTTTTGCTTTTTTTCTTAGCCACAGTGCTGAGGTGAACCAGTTGGTCCCTGTCAGAGCCTCTTGTTCAATTTGTATATATATTTACCAAAATATTGAGGCATTTGCTATTTGAATATTTTGCAATTAGATTTGTTAATTTTTCCTGAAAGTAATTTGCACGTTTATTTTATCTAAAGTTGTCTGGTAATGATGTGTTATTGACTTACCCATTTAGTGACAAGAGGTACATTATTAAATTGTAATATTTACTTAAAATTGAAAATAAAGACCAAATATTGCCACTCAAGACAGTGGTGGGTGAGATAGAATGTTCTAAAATTAAATGGATATTAAATTGTGATGATTTTTTTTTCTGTCTTCTTTTGGACTTGAACAGTAAGCATGTAATGGAAGGAATGTCGGTACGGAAGCGTATTAGTGCCACTTGCACACTTTACTTTTTTTTAATTTCGACACTTTAATCTGTAAATTTTACACTTTAAAGTGTAAAATTTACACTTTAAGCTGTAAATTTTACACTTTAAAGTGTAAATTTTACTCTTTAATCTGTAAAATTTACACTTTAATCTGTAAAATTTACACTTAAATCTGTAAATTTTACACTTTAATCTGTAAAATTTACACTTTAATCTGTAAATTTTACACTTTAATCTGTAAAATTTACACTTTAATGTGTAAATTTTACACTTTAATCTGTAAATTTTACACTTTAATCTGTAAAATTTACAGATTAATCTGTAAAATTTACACTTTAATCTGTAAAATTTACAGATTAAAGTGTAAATTTTACATATTAATCTGTAAAATTTACACTTTAATCTGTAAATTATACACTTTAATCTGTAAAATTTACACTTTATTTGTTTATTCACATAGTCAATTTAGCATCTTCACACATCCTCAGTAACACATTTTATAGCCAACAAACCATGTTTCGTGCATGATAAAATTTGATTCTGATGTTTTATATTAAAGTATAACTTTTCTTTGAATATAAAGTGAAGAGCATATCAAACATACATGCACACATTCCCGATCACAGGTGCTTGAGGACCCCTCCCCCCTTAATATAGATTCCAGGGCTTGTTAGACTTTTTTCACATAAATAATATATGGATGACACAATTGTGATATAATCTATAAATCCTATCAATTCAGAAAATTTGCTTAAACTAACATTTTATTGGCTTACAAATGTGTTACTGAGGATGTGTGAAGATGCTAAATTGACTATGTGAATAAACAAATAAAGTGTAAATTTTACAGATTAAAGTGTAAAATTTACAGATTAAAGTGTATAATTTACAGATTAAAGTGTTAATTTTACAGATTAATGTGTAAAATTTACACTTTAAAGTGTAAAATTTACAGATTAAAGTGTAAAATTTACAGATTAAAGTGTAAATTTTACAGATTAATGTGTAAAATTTACACTTTAAAGTGTAAATTTTACAGATTAATCTGTAAAATTTACAGATTAATGTGTAAAATTTACAGATTAAAGTGTAAAATTTACACTTTAAAGTGTAAAATTTACAGATTAAAGTGTAAAATTTATAGATTAATCTGTAAAATTTACACTTTAAAGTGTAAATTTTACAGATTAAAGTGTAAAATTTACACTTTAAAGTGTAAATTTTACACATTAATCTGTAAAATTTACAGATTAATGTGTAAAATTTACAGATTAAAGTGTAAAATTTACACTTTAAAGTGTAAAATTTACAGATTAAAGTGTAGAAATTTAAAAAAAGTAAAGTGTGCAAGTGGCACTAATACGCTTCCGTATGTCGGAGCTCTGTCTTATACATGTGATAATTGTAGACCCAAATACTGTTCATCAACATAGGAAATAAATGTTCAAAATATGGGAGCTACTATATAGCCTATATACTGTATGTGAACTTAAAATAGTGGGCTTCATATTTGTGTCTGATAATCTGTAAACTACATGTATACACATGACTTTTAATGAGTTACGCAGTACCTTCACATATGTGTACTTGACCTTGAGAAGGAATTCCCACTCAAATCTAGTATTGAAAAAATAAACTTGCATGCAAGTAGATTTCCAAACTGATACCCCCGTATGGCAACAAAGTGAAGATTAAGCTTTTCCTAAATGCAAATTTAATATATTGGTATCCAAAGTAGGGTCTCCAAGCTGGAAATATAATTGTGAAACATGAACGCCCTATCAACATCTGTTCCCAAGTTATGGCCAGGCTAAAGTTTTTTTTTTCCACAAGTTTACAGAAATCTTCAATATCAAGGTCAAACTGTCAATGTTATTGGTATCCAATGAAGAGTCTTTCCACATGTAGGGAATTCGAAGCCCTAATCATTCAAAAGTTAAGGCTCAGGTCAAAAAGTAGGTTAAACTCCCAGATCAAGGTCAGAAGCTCAAGGTTATTTATTGAATGAAAGGTCTTATTACAAGAATTACATAGTTATGCGAAGTATAAATGCCCTAGCCCTTCCTCTTCAAAAGTTATTGCCAGGGTTAAAGTTTTTTTCATTAGTATGTAAATATCCAAGGTCAAAAGTCAAAGTTTATAGTATCCAATGAAAGGTCTTAACACAAGAAATACATATGTGAAATATGAAAGTCATAGCTCCACTAAATCAAAAATTATGGGCAAGTTTAAAGTTTTTCTGGACAAACAGCTAGACAGACAGACGGATACGACAAAAACTATATACCCCTGAAACTTCATTTATGGGGGCTTAAAAATATAAGCATAAAACAAGACTCAAGTTATTAATTTATTCTATTGTTTCCGGTATAAACTTTTTTTTAAATTCACACAAGAGAAAAATAAGATATCTCTAAATTCCAGCCTTATCAGTGTCCTGTTTGTGTGGGATTTTTACCTGCCATTAGATCTGTACAAATTCTGCATTGCTAATGTTGAAATGCCTAAAAACTGGACTATGCTCTCTCAAATTAGATAAACCATCAAGTCAAAAGCTTATAGGCTCAATGTTGCAGAACTAATAGTTCAGAATTAAGTGATGGCCAAAGGTCCAACAGTCTATAAATGCATTTGAATATAAACAATTCTTTCTCTCTCTTCAGATCCTTTTCTCTCCAACAAACTTTTTTTCAAAGTGGGTTATGACATCATTCATAGGAAGAACTGAAATATAAAAATATCATTATATCACCTGATTCATGATGAATTAAATAACACATAACAAGAGGCCCATGGGCCACAATGCTCACCTAGGTCACATGATCCTGGTGTTTCACAAAATTAAAAAAAAAGTTCCTTTTTTCAATGAAAAATTAACCAATATTGTGGCCTCACCTTAGCATAAATTAAACATTTGTAATGAGGTTTAATTAAACTTAATTACATGTCCTTCCATCACACTTTGGACTTCATATGCTGATACATATCTTTTATTAATAAGAGTTTCTTATTTCTGACCTTGACCTCAATATTCTTAATTTATGTTAAGTTCAATTTCAAAAGTTATTTCAGATATTTGTATCAAACCTTATATATGTGCAGATACATATTGATGGGATCTATTCAACTTCATAATCATTATTTTACTTGACCTTTCCTTTGTCCTTGACCTTTCTTTAAATTAGTGAGTAAAGCTTAGTTTTAAAGAAACTTATGCTTAAACTATAAACATTGATACAAGCTATTCAGTTGCATGAACATTTTTTATCTTGACCTCTCTCAAATTTGTGTTAAGCTTTAAAATTTAAAGAAATAATCATGATATTTTAATGAAACTTTATATGCTGAACATTTTGAATAGCGTTTTCAAACTGCATCAAAAAATCTGCCACTGTGTTAAATAATTTCTGAATTCTTTCTAACCATTAATGTCCTCTTAACCTTTGTGTCATCCACCATTATTTGATGAAAAATCTTTTTTTTCTTTACACCACAGTTTTCTTTCCTTAAAATCTGCATGCCTATAAAAATCAAGACTCTTTGTTGCTCCTGAAATTAAATGTGCAAATAAATCTTTAAAAACTAGAGCATAGTTTTTATTTCTCATAGTGACTGATGATTGAGTAAAAAATGTAGAAATTCTCATAAAAAACCATAATCCTATATTTAGAATCTATTATCTACATGCTGTAACTCCTAAAAGCTGTGACTTGGATCCACTCGCATACTTGCTACACTAACATCTCGCAGAGGGTACCGCCAGAGGTCAGATTCTATCATCTAATCAAATTGTCGCCTGCAAAATCATTGTATATTTGTTGAAGCGAATAGATCAACAGTTCTTCCGAATTTGACCTTAGACGTGACTCTCTATGGGATATTGTTAGATGTTAGTGTACATGCAATCGGATCTAACATTTAACTTTAATTAGATTGACCCAGAGGTGAACATACTTACTAGTAAATGTGCATGTTCATACCCCTTTATAATAAATGAAAAAGGCTCTTTTTCCTGGAACTTTCTGTTACAGTACCATCCCACAGCAGCTCCTTTCCTCAACTTATGCGTAATCCACAACATAACAGTTATTTCATAAAAAAATGTTTTCATCCAATCATAGATAAAATCAGCCAATCAAGACAGTTCATCAATCATAAAATCAGCCAATCAAGACAGTTCATCAAAAGTCAGACTTTTATCTTAACGTTTTTTGTTTGTTTTTATGTTGTTTAATGTCTCTCTCAAAAATTTTTCACTCATATGGAGACGCCACCATTTGCTGGTGGAGAGCTTCAAATTTATTCTATACTCGTCAATCAAAGCCATTGAGCAGTGAGGGACCTTTTTTGTGCCAGCACCTACTGTGACACAGGACCTCGGTTTATACCGTTTTATCTGAATGTAGTAGTCCTGGAAGTGCTAGACATGGATTGCCCTGCTATTTTTGATCACATGGTATATGTCACGTACCTGCTGTGACGTGTACCTATCATCGCACACTTTTTTTGTTTCTGGGTGCAGAGTACAGATATTTTTCTCCATCAATATTGGGTACTGTATATAGTACATTGCGGTCACTAATAAAGCTCGTGTTATTTAACCATTGTGTTTTCCGTTTTCTGCCATCACCACATTCGGATACAATATATCTTATGTTATATCATATGAAGGACTGCATGGTCTCCACAGTGGGATTCGAACTCACGACATAAGGATCAACTCCTAACTTTGCAACTGTAGAGCAGACAGTCTAATATGGGTGACTCAACTGACCCAAGTCTCAATGTCACAATGTAAATAACAACAAATCTCAATGTAAATAACTTACTTCAGGGGAAATTCAAGTTAAAACTGTTTAAGTACAAGCTAATAGTAAACTAATAAATATCTGTTAGTAAATACACAGGGGCCTACACTATAT